GACACACACAGTGAGACACACAGACACACACGGTGAGACAGACACACGGTGAGACACACACACACACACGGTGAGACACGGTGAGACACATGGTGAGACACAAACACACACGATGAGACACCGTGAGACACACACGGTAAGACATGGTGAGACACGGTGAGACACACGGACACACACAGTGAGACACACACGGTGAGACACAGACACACAAGGTGAGACAGACACACACAGTGAGACACAGACACACACGGTGCACACGGACACACGGACACACACGGTGAGACACAGACACACACGGTGAGACACGGTGAGACACACACAGTGAGACACGGTGAAACACACGGTGAGACACAGACATGCACAGGAATCGTGAGACACACGGACACATAGTGAGACACACAGACACGGTGCACACGGACAGTGAGACACACACGGTGAGACACACACGGTGCACACGGACGCACGGACACACACAGTGAGACACACAGACATGCACAGGCATGGTGAGACACACGGACACACACGGTGAGACACACAGACATGCACAGGCATCATGAGACACACGGACACACAGTGAGACACACACACGGTGCACACGGACAGTGAGACACACACGGTGAGACACACTCACACAGTGAGACACACACACTCACACAGTGCACACAGACAGACACACGGTGAGACACACACACACACGGTGATACAGAGACAACACATCGCACCAGTGTCCTTGTCCAAACTGCAGTGTTGGGGGGAGCCAGCCCCCCCCCCCCCTCCTCCAGACCGGGGGTAAGGGGGGGGGGCTGAGCCGCCCACCTCGTCCACCAAATCATGATCCCAGCTCACCGTGCTTGTAGGCCCGCACCAGCGCCTGCAACTGGCGGTTAGTTCGTGATGCCAGCACCTCGATGAGGATGTCTTCATCAGTGCCAGCTCCCTGGGGAAAACACGCGGGATTACTCCACCCACTCACCCACTCACCCACCCACTCACCCACCCACTCACCCACTCACCCACCCACTCACTCACTCACCCACTCACTCACTCACCCACTCACTCACTCACCCACCCACCCACCCACTCACCCACTCACCCACTCACTCACCCACTCACTCACTCACTCACCCACCCACTCACTCACCCACCCACCCACCCACTCACCCACCCACTCACTCACCCACTCACCCACTCACTCACCCACCCACTCACCCACCCACTCACCCACCCACTCACCCACCCACTCACTCACCCACTCACTCACCCACTCACTCACTCACCCACCCACCCACCCACTCACCCACTCACCCACTCACTCACCCACTCACTCACTCACCCACCCACCCACTCACTCACCCACCCACCCACCCACTCACCCACCCACCCACCCACTCACCCACCCACCCACCCACTCACTCACCCACTCACCCACCCACTCACCCACCCCCCCCACTCACCCACCCACTCACCCACCCACCCACCCACTCACCCACTCACCCACCCACCCACCCACTCACCCACCCACTCACCCACCCACTCACCCACTCACCCCACCCACCCACTCACTCACCCACCCACCCACTCACTCACCCACTCACCCACCCACCCACCCACTCACTCACCCACCCACTCACTCACTCACTCACCCACCCACTCAACCCACCCACCCACTCACCCACCCACCCACCCACCCACTCACTCACCCACCCACTCACCCACCCACTCACCCACCCACCCACTTACCCCACCCACCCACTCACCCACCCACCCACTCACCCACTCACTCACCCACCCACCCACTCACTCACCCACTCACCCACCCACTCACCCACTCACCCACTCACCCACCCACATACCCACCCACTCACCCACCCACATACCCACTCACCCACCCACACACCCACCCACCTACCCACTCACCCACCCACACACATACCCACCCACCTACCCATCCACTCACTCACCCACCCACCCACTCACCCACACACATACCCACTCACCCACCCACCCACTCACCCACCCACTCACTCACTCACTCACCCACCCACCCACTCACCCACCCACCCACTCACCCACTCACCCACCCACCCACTCACCCACCCACCCACTCACCCACACACTCACCGACCCATCCACTCACCCACCCACCTACCCATCCACTCACCCACCCACATACTCACCCACCCACCTACCCACCCACATACCCACTCACCCACATACCCACACACCCACATACCCACCTAACCACCCACATACCCACACACCCACACACCCACCCACCTCACCATCCACATACCCACCCACATACCCACCCACCTCACCACCCACCCACACCACCTCCAGTACACCTCTCGCGAACGCCTTCACAGTTACCCGGCCGCATTCCCCAGGCTCGCAGTGCCAGAGACCCAGGATCTATCTTCAAATGATGCCCAGGATCTATCTTCAAATGATGCCCAGGATCTATCTTCAAATGATGCCCAGTTTCTATCTTCAAATGATGCCCAGGATCTATCTTCAAATGATGCCCAGGATCTATCTTCAAATGATGCCCAGGATCTATCTTCAAATGATGCCCAGGATCTATCTTCAAATGATGCCCAGGATCTATCTTCAAATGATGCCCAGGATCTATCTTCAAATGATGCCCAGTTTCTATCTTCAAATGATGCCCAGTTTCTATCTTCAAATGATGCCCAGGATCTATCTTCAAATGATGCCCAGGATCTATCTTCAAATGATGCCCAGTTTCTATCTTCAAATGATGCCCAGGATCTATCTTCAAATGATGCCCAGGATCTATCTTCAAATGATGCCCAGGATCTATCTTCAAATGATGCCCAGGATCTATCTTCAAATGATGCCCAGGATCTATCTTCAAATGATGCCCAGGATCTATCTTCAAATGATGCCCAGGATCTATCTTCAAATGATGCCCAGGATCTATCTTCAAATGATGCCCAGGATCTATCTTCAAATGATGCCCAGGATCTATCTTCAAATGATGCCCAGGATCTATCTTCAAATGATGCCCAGGATCTATCTTCAAATGATGCCCAGGATCTATCTTCAAATGATGCCCAGGATCTATCTTCAAATCATGCCCTACCGTGTACACAAAGACAAATAACCCCCATGTAGCCTCTAAGAGGCTCTTGGGGCAAGCTCTGTTAGCAAGCAGCAACTATGAAGGCCAACACGGCACACGAGGGGGTGGGTGGCAGCACCGCTCCGGGCTGGTTGTGTCCACCTATTGGCGGCGTTTATACACCATGCCAGGTACTCATTTGAGGTCGAGTCGACCTAGGGGATCCCCGAGTTCGGATAGAATCATCACTGGTGTTCGTCGCCGTGCACGGGAATCAAACTCGGGTCACTGGGTTTCAAGCACAGCGCCGTGAACCACTACACTACCACTCCCCAGACACACACACACTCACTCACACGTAGTCTCAAGCACCTCTCCCCCTGCACTCACCCCCACGATATCACCCCCCTCCCCACTCCCCCCCACGCTCTCTCCCCCTGCACTACCCCCCTCCCCACCCCTCCCCACTCCCCCACCCCCTCTCCCCCTGCACTCCCCCCCCTCCCCACCCCCCACGCTCTCTCCCCCTGCACCCCCTACCTCCCACCCCCCACCCTCCACCACCCCCCCCCCCCCCCGCTCTCTCCCCCTGCACTCCCCCCCCCGCCCCCCCCCCGCTCTCTCCCCCTGCACTCCCCACCCCTCCCCACCCCCCCACCCCCCACCTCCCCCCACCCCCCACCCCCCACCTCCCCCCCTCCCCACCCCTCCCCACCCCTCCCCACCCCCCCACCCCCCTCCCCACCCCTCCCCCACCCCTCCCCACCCCACCCCCCCCCCACGCTCTCTCCCCCTGCACTCCCCCCCCCCCCCGCTGCTCCCTCACCTTGAGAGCGAACCTCATCTCGGCGGCGTCGTATTTGTCTGGCGCCGTGAGCAGCGCCACCAACACCAGCTCCAGCGTCCCCGACACCTCCGACTTCACGTCCGCCACCAAGTCCTGTGGGGGGGGAGTCACGTGGGAGTACCCACACCTTACCCCACCCACCGCAGACTCACTGCGCTGGCTGAACCCATTTACACAGCAGCAGCAGCTAAGAAACTTGTCCCCCATCACCTCCCCCATTCACACCACACCGTGATAAACAGCTGCCCAGCAGAGAGATGGAATCGAACCGGAGCCCTCAGGATGGGGAGTCCAGTCAGTGCGCTGTTGACTGTGTGGTGAGTCTATGGGTATCTGTGTGGTGAGTCTGTGGGTCTCTGTGTGGTGAGTCTGTGGGTCTCTGCGTGGCGAGTCTATGGCGAGTCTAAGGGTCTCTGTGTGGCGAGTCTATGGGTCTCTGTGTGGTGAGTCTGTGGGTCTCTGTGTGGTGAGTCTATGGGTCTCTGTGTGGTGAGTCTATGGGTCTCTGTATGGTGAGTCTGTGGGGCTGTGTGGTGAGTCTGTGGTCCCTATGTGGCGAGTCTGTGGGTCTCTGTGTGGCGAGTCTGTGGGTCTCTGTGTGGCGAGTCTGTGGGTCTCTGTGTGGCGAGTCTGCTGGTCTCTGCATGGTGAGTCTGTAGGTCTCTGCGTGGTGAGTCTGTGGGTTACTGTGTGGTGAGTCTGTGGGTTACTGTGTGGCGAGTCTGTGGGTCTCTGTGTGGCGAGTCTGTGGGTCTGTGTGGCGAGGCTATGGGTCTCTGTGTGGTGAGTATGTGGGTCTCTGTGTGGCGAGTCTGTGGGTCTCTGTGTGGCGAGTCTGTGGGTCTCTGTGTGGCGAGTCTGTGGGTCTGTGTGGCGAGGCTATGGGTCTCTGTGTGGTGAGTATGTGGGTCTCTGTGTGGCGAGTCTGTGGGTCTCTGTGTGGCGAGTCTGTGGGTCTCTGTGTGGCGAGTCTATGGGTCTCTGTGTGGTGAGTCTGTGGGTCTCTGTGTGGTGAGTCTGTGGGTCTCTGTGTGGTGAGTCTATGGGTCTCTGTGTGGTGAGTCTATGGGTCTCTGTGTGGCGAGTCTGCGGGTTTCTGTGTGGCGAGTCTATGGGTCTCTGTGTGGTGAGTCTGTGGGTCTCTGTGTGGTGAGTCTGTGGGTCTCTGTGTGGTGAGTCTATAGGTCTCTGTGTGGTGAGTCTGTGGGTCTCTGTGTGGCGAGTCTATGGGTCTCTGTGTGGCGAGTCTATGGCTCTCTGTGTGGCGAGTCTATGGGTCTCTGTGTGGCGAGTCTATGGGTCTCTGTGTGGCGAGTCTATGGGTCTCTGTGTGGCGAGTCTATGGGTCTCTATGTGGCGAGTCTATGGGTCTCTGTGTGGCGAGTCTGTGGGTTTCTGTGTGGCGAGTCTGTGGGTCTCTGTGTGGCAAGTCTGTGGGTCTCTGTGTGGCAAGTCTGTGGGTCTCTGCATGGTGAGTCTGTAGGTCTCTGTGTGGTGAGTCTGTGGGTGACTGTGTGGTGAGTCTGTGGGTTACTGTGTGGCGAGTCTGTGGGTCTCTGTGTGGCGAGTCTGTAGGTCTCTGCGTGGTGAGTCTGTGGGTGACTGTGTGGTGAGTCTGTGGGTTACTGTGTGGCGAGTCTGTGGGTCTCTGTGTGGCGAGTCTGTGGGTCTGTGTGGCGAATCTATGGGTCTTTGTGTGGTGAGTATGTGGGTCTCTGTGTGGCGAGTCTGTGGGTCTCTGTGTGGCGAGTCTGTGGGTCTCTGTGTGGCGAGTCTGCGGGTCTCTGCATGGTGAGTCTGTGGGTCTCTGTGTGGTGAGTCTGTGGGTCTCTGTGTGGTGAGTCTGTGGGTCTCTGTGTGGTGAGTCTGTGGGTCTCTGTGTGGTGAGTCTGTGGGTCTCTGTGTGGTGAGTCTGTGGGTCTCTGTGTGGTGAGTCTGTGGGTCTCTGTGTGGCGAGTCTGTGGGTCTCTGTGTGGCGAGTCTGTGGGTCTCTGTGTGGTGAGTCTGTGGGTCTCTGTGTGGTGAGTCTGTGGGTCTCTGTGTGGTGAGTCTGTGGGTCTCTGTGTGTTGAGTCTATGGGTCTCTGTGTGGTGAGTCTATGGGTCTCTGTGTGGCGAGTCTGCGGGTCTCTGTGTGGCGAGTCTATGGGTCTCTGTGTGGTGAGTCTGTGGGTCTCTGTGTGGTGAGTCTATGGGTCTCTGTGTGGTGAGTCTATGGGTCTCTGTATGGTGAGTCTGTGGGGCTGTGTGGTGAGTCTGTGGTCCCTATGTGGCGAGTCTGTGGGTCTCTGTGTGGCGAGTCTGTGGGTCTCTGTGTGGCGAGTCTGTGGGTCTCTGTGTGGCGAGTCTGTGGGTCTCTGTGTGGCGAGTCTGTGGGTCTCTGTGTGGCGAGTCTGTGGGTCTCTGTGTGGCGAGTCTGCGGGTCTCTGCATGGTGAGTCTGTAGGTCTCTGCGTGGTGAGTCTGTGGGTTACTGTGTGGTGAGTCTGTGGGTTACTGTGTGGCGAGTCTGTGGGTCTCTGTGTGGCGAGTCTGTGGGTCTGTGTGGCGAGGCTATGGGTCTCTGTGTGGTGAGTATGTGGGTCTCTGTGTGGCGAGTCTGTGGGTCTCTGTGTGGCGAGTCTGTGGGTCTCTGTGTGGCGAGTCTATGGGTCTCTGTGTGGTGAGTCTGTGGGTCTCTGTGTGGTGAGTCTGTGGGTCTCTGTGTGGTGAGTCTATGGGTCTCTGTGTGGTGAGTCTATGGGTCTCTGTGTGGCGAGTCTGCGGGTTTCTGTGTGGCGAGTCTATGGGTCTCTGTGTGGTGAGTCTGTGGGTCTCTGTGTGGTGAGTCTGTGGGTCTCTGTGTGGTGAGTCTATAGGTCTCTATGTGGTGAGTCTGTGGGTCTCTGTGTGGCGAGTCTATGGGTCTCTGTGTGGCGAGTCTATGGCTCTCTGTGTGGCGAGTCTATGGGTCTCTGTGTGGCGAGTCTATGGGTCTCTGTGTGGCGAGTCTATGGGTCTCTGTGTGGCGAGTCTATGGGTCTCTATGTGGCGAGTCTATGGGTCTCTGTGTGGCGAGTCTGTGGGTTTCTGTGTGGCGAGTCTGTGGGTCTCTGTGTGGCCAGTCTGTGGGTCTCTGTGTGGCAAGTCTGTGGGTCTCTGCATGGTGAGTCTGTAGGTCTCTGTGTGGTGAGTCTGTGGGTGACTGTGTGGTGAGTCTGTGGGTTACTGTGTGGCGAGTCTGTGGGTCTCTGTGTGGCGAGTCTGTAGGTCTCTGCGTGGTGAGTCTGTGGGTGACTGTGTGGTGAGTCTGTGGGTTACTGTGTGGCGAGTCTGTGGGTCTCTGTGTGGCGAGTCTGTGGGTCTGTGTGGCGAATCTATGGGTCTTTGTGTGGTGAGTATGTGGGTCTCTGTGTGGCGAGTCTGTGGGTCTCTGTGTGGCGAGTCTGTGGGTCTCTGTGTGGCGAGTCTGCGGGTCTCTGCATGGTGAGTCTGTAGGTCTCTGCGTGGTGAGTCTGTGGGTTACTGTGTGGTGAGTCTGTGGGTTACTGTGTGGCGAGTCTGTGGGTCTCTGTGTGGCGAGTCTGTGGGTCTGTGTGGCGAGGCTATGGGTCTCTGTGTGGTGAGTATGTGGGTCTCTGTGTGGCGAGTCTGTGGGTCTCTGTGTGGCGAGTCTGTGGGTCTCTGTGTGGCGAGTCTATGGGTCTCTGTGTGGTGAGTCTGTGGGTCTCTGTGTGGTGAGTCTGTGGGTCTCTGTGTGGTGAGTCTATGGGTCTCTGTGTGGTGAGTCTATGGGTCTCTGTGTGGCGAGTCTGCGGGTGTCTGTGTGGCGAGTCTATGGGTCTCTGTGTGGTGAGTCTGTGGGTCTCTGTGTGGTGAGTCTGTGGGTCTCTGTGTGGTGAGTCTATAGGTCTCTGTGTGGTGAGTCTGTGGGTCTCTGTGTGGCAAGTCTATGGGTCTCTGTGTGGCGAGTCTATGGCTCTCTGTGTGGCGAGTCTATGGGTCTCTGTGTGGCGAGTCTATGGGTCTATGTGTGGCGAGTCTATGGGTCTCTGTGTGGCGAGTCTATGGGTCTCTATGTGGCGAGTCTATGGGTCTCTGTGTGGCGAGTCTGTGGGTTTCTGTGTGGCGAGTCTGTGGGTCTCTGTGTGGCAAGTCTGTGGGTCTCTGTGTGGCAAGTCTGTGGGTCTCTGCATGGTGAGTCTGTAGGTCTCTGTGTGGTGAGTCTGTGGGTGACTGTGTGGTGAGTCTGTGGGTTACTGTGTGGCGAGTCTGTGGGTCTCTGTGTGGCGAGTCTGTAGGTCTCTGCGTGGTGAGTCTGTGGGTGACTGTGTGGTGAGTCTGTGGGTTACTGTGTGGTGAGTCTGTGGGTCTCTGTGTGGCGAGTCTGTGGGTCTGTGTGGCGAATCTATGGGTCTTTGTGTGGTGAGTATGTGGGTCTCTGTGTGGCGAGTCTGTGGGTCTCTGTGTGGCGAGTCTGTGGGTCTCTGTGTGGCGAGTCTATGGGTCTCTGTGTGGTGAGTCTGTGGGTCTCTGTGTGGTGAGTCTGTGGGTCTCTGTGTGGTGAGTCTATGGGTCTATGTGTGGTGAGTCTATGGGTCTCTGTGTGGCGAGTCTGCGGGTCTCTGTGTGGCGAGTCTACGGGTCTCTGTGTGGTGAGTCTGTGGGTCTGTGTGTGGTGAGTCTGTGGGTCTCTGTGTGGTGAGTCTATAGGTCTCTGTGTGGTGAGTCTGTGGGTCTCTGTGTGGTGAGTCTATGGGTCTCTGTGTGGCGAGTCTATGGGTCTCTGTGGCGAGTCTATGGCTCTCTGTGTGGCGAGTCTATGGGTCTCTGTGTGGCGAGTCTATGGGTCTCTGTGTGGCGAGTCTATGGGTCTCTGTGTGGCGAGTCTATGGGTCTCTGTGTGGCGAGTCTATGGGTCTCTGCGTGGCGAGTCTGTGGGTCTCTGTGTGGTGAGTCTATGGGTCTCGGTGTGGTGAGTCTATGGGTCTCTGTGTGGCGAGTCTATGGGTCTCTGTGTGGCGAGTCTATGGGTCTCTGTGTGGCGAGTCTATGGGTCTCTGTGTGGCGAGTCTATGGGTCTCTGTGTGGCGAGTCTATGGGTCTCTGTGTGGCGAGTCTATGGGTCTCTGTGTGGCGAGTCTATGGGTCTCTGTGTGGCGAGTCTATGAGTCTCTGTGTGGTGAGTCTGTGGGTCTCTGTATGGCGAGTCTGTGGGTCTCTGTGTGGCGAGTCTGTGGGTCTCTGTGTGGCGAGTCTATGGGTCTCTGTGTGGCGAGTCTATGGGTCTCTGTGTGGCGAGTCTATGGGTCTCTGTGTGGCGAGTCTATGGCTCTCTGTGTGGCGAGTCTATGGGTCTCTGTGTGGTGAGTCTATGGATCTCTGTGTGGCGAGTCTATGGGTCTCTGTGTGGCGAGTCTATGGGTCTCTGTGTGGCGAGTCTATGGGTCTCTGTGTGGCGAGTCTATGGCTCTCTGTGTGGCGAGTCTATGGCTCTCTGTGTGACGAGTCTATGGGTCTCTGTGTGGCGAGTCTATGGGTCTCTGTGTGGCGATTCTATGGGTCTCTGTGTGGTGAGTCTGTGGGTCTCTGTGTGGCGAGTCTGTGGGTCTCTGTGTGGCGAGTCTGTGGGTCTCTGTGTGGCGAGTCTATGGGTCTCTGTGTGGCGAGTCTATGGGTCTCTGTGTGGCGAGTCTGTGGGTCTCTGTGTGGCGAGTCTATGGGTTTCTGTGTGGCGAGTCTATGGGTCTCTGTGTGGTGAGTCTATGGGTCTCTGTGTGGCGAGTCTATGGGTCTCTGTGTGGCGAGTCTATGGGTCTCTGTGTGGCGAGTCTATGGGTCTCTGTGTGGCAAGTCTATGCCTCTCTGTGTGGCGAGTCTATGGGTCTCTGTGTGGTGAGTCTATGGGTCTCTGTGTGGCGAGTCTATGGGTCTCTGTGTGGCGAGTCTATGGGTCTCTGTGTGGCGAGTCTATGGGTCTCTGTGTGGCGAGTCTATGGCTCTCTGTGTGGCGAGTCTATGGCTCTCTGTGTGGCGAGTCTGTGGGTCTCTGTGTGGTGAATCGATGGATCTCAAGCGAGGAGCACTCCTCTCGTGTGGCAGGGTGTGAGTGTGTCAGTGCTGCCCTCTGCTGTTCATATCGACTATGACACAGCCACTCCGATCTCACAGACACGGCCATGACGAACCCACCCTGCCGAAAGCGGTCTTGAAGGCCTCGATGATTTTCTGTCTCTGGGCGAAGCTGCGCCGCGTGAGGACATCGATGATGCTTTTCTCATCCGTGCCTGGGGAGACACGGGGGAGACACGGGGGAGACACGGGGGGAGACACGGGGGGAGACACGGGGGAGACACGGGGGAGACACGGGGGAGACACGGGGGGAGACACGGGGGAGACACGGGGGAGACACTGGGGAAACACCGGGGGAGACACGGGGGGAGACACGGGGGAGACACAGGGGAGACACGGGGGGAGACACAGGAGAGACACAGGGGAGACACGGGGGGAGACACGGGGGAGACACGGGGGGATACACGGCGGAGACACGAGGGAGACACGGGGGGAGACACGGGGGAGACACGGGGGGAGACACGGGGGAGTCACGGGGGAGACACGGGGGGAGACACGGGGGAGACACGGGGGAAACACGGGGGAAACACGGGGGGAGACACGGGGGAGACACGGGGGGAGACACGGGGGGAGACACGGGGGAGACACGGGGGAGACACGGGGGAGACACGGGGGAGTCACGGGGGAGACACGGGGGGGAGACACGGGGGAGACACGGGGGGAGACACGGGGGAGACACGGGGGAGACACGGGGGAGACACACCACGGGGTCAGGGGGACACGGAGAGACACGGGGAGACGGACATACATCTGACGTTGACATAAACTTCCAACGCTACGTTCACGTAGCCTCCTCTGACCCCAAACACCCGGATCCCATTCATTTGACCTCTTGACGCTGGCCCTAACCTTCTTGATAGACCCCTTGGCAAGTGATCCACTTTGCCTGACCCACATGAGCGCGACCTATTGACCTTAACCCACTGAGCTTGACCCATGGAGCTCGATGACCGCGACCTCGTGACCTTGACCCCACCGCTCACCGAAGCCCTTCATGGCCTTGCGCAGAATCTGCGCGTCCGCATCTGCGTTGAATCCCGGGAAGTCCCGGATGGTCCCACGTGACCCCTGGGGGTTGGGGGGGGGGGTCAACACGTGGTGGGCGGCGGGGGGGGGGGGAGAGACAGGGGTCATGGGGGTCAGAGAGCTTGGAGGGAGAGAGACGCTTGGGGCAGGGGGGTGGGTAGATTCTGAGACACCTAGAGACAGACTTGGAGACAAAGAGACTGGGGAAACACGGGGACTGAGGGACATAGGGACTCGGGAGACATGGGGACTCCTGTACATGAGAACCCAGGGACACAGGGACTTGGAGATTCCAAGACAAAGGGACTTATGGCCAAGACCAAAGAGCTCTCCAAGGATGTCAGGGACAAGATTGTAGACCTACACAAGGCTGGAATGGGCTACAAGACCATTGCCAAGCAGCTTGGTGAGAAGGTGACAACAGTTGGTGCGATTATTCGCAAATGGAAGAAACACAAAAGAACTGTCAATCTCCCTTGGCCTGGGGCTCCATGCAAGATCTCACCTCGTGGAGTTGCAATGATCATGAGAACGGTGAGGAATCAGCCCAGAACTACACGGGAGGATCTTGTCAATGATCTCAAGGCAGCTGGGACCATAGTCACCAAGAAAACAATTGGTAACACACTACGCCGTGAAGGACTGAAATCCTGCAGCGCCCGCAAGGTCCCCCTGCTCAAGAAAGCACATATACATGCCCGTCTGAAGTTTGCCAATGAACATCTGAATGATTTAGAGGACAACTGGGTGAAAGTGTTGTGGTCAGATGAGACCAAAATGGAGCTCTTTGGCATCAACTCAACTCGCTGTGTTTGGAGGAGGAATGCTGCCTATGACCCCAAGAACACCATCCCCACCGTCAAACATGGAGGTGGAAACATTATGCTTTGGGGGTGTTTTTATGCTAAGGGGACAGGACAACTTCACCGCATCAAAGGGACGATGGACGGGGCCATGTACCGTCAAATCTTGGGTGAGAACCTCCTTCCCTCAGCCAGGGCATTGAAAATGGGTCGTGGATGGGTATTCCAGCATGACAATGACCCAAAACACACGGCCAAGGCAACAAAGGAGTGGCTCAAGAAGAAGCACATTAAGGTCCTGGAGTGGCCTAGCCAGTCTCCAGACCTTAATCCCATAGAAAATCTGTGGAGGGAGCTGAAGGTTCGAGTTGCCAAACGTCAGCCTCAAAACCTTAATGACTTGGAGAAGATCTGCAAAGAGGAGTGGGACAAAATCCCTCCTGAGATGTGTGCAAACCTGGTGGCCAACTACAAGAAACGTCTGACCTCTGTGATTGCCAACCAGGGTTTTGCCACCAAGTACTAAGTCATATTTTGCAGAGGGGTCAAATACTTATTTCCCTCATTAAAATGCAAATCAATTTATGACAATTTTTGACATGCGTTTTTCTGGATTTTTTGTTGTTGTTATTCTGTCTCTCACTGTTCAAATAAACCTACCATTAAAATGATAGACTGGTCATTTCTTTGTCAGTGGGCAAACGTACAAAATCCGCAGGGGATCAAATACTTTTTTCCCTCACTGTATGGACATTGAGACAAAGGGACTCAGAGACAAGGGGGACTCCTGTACACGAGAACCCAGGGACTTAGACACTCAGGGTCTCAGGGACACGTGCACTCGGACACATGAGACTCACTCACGGAGGCACGGGGACTTACTCCTACCTTAGCCGCCATAGATGCTCGATTTCAGATGAGTGGACAGCAAAATTCTGGAGACACGGGGACACGGGACAGAACAACGGGCAACAGACACGAATGTGAGATGCATTCACTCATTTGCTCGATCACCATACTGTATGTATATCTCCACGTGGTAAGCCAGTTCTCTTTGAGCTGTCATTTGTGGCGAGGTCGCTTCTGAAAAAAAGAGCCTTACCTGGTAAAATAAAATAAAAAATTGATAGTGAATGTTGAACGTCTTTCGGGGAGTACAACAAACTTAATGTAAAAAAGCAATTGTACAGAAGTTCGTTCGTCAATCTAGACGACTTAAAAGCTGCAGAGCCCCAGTGCCTTCGTAATGTCGGAAGAGCGTTCCAGACGGCCGCAGACGCGCATCTGAAAGCGCCGCGCGATGCGGCGGTGACCGCCGCCTTTTGATCAATGGTTCAGCCAAAAGCCGCCGCTGTGGATTAATCGACCTCCCTACCTTACAGCGTATTCAAGAGCTGGGGCCAGATGGTGCCTCTTATAATCCGGCCGATTTATCGTCGTCGTCGTCATCATCATCATCTTCCGGAAAGACGAAGTTGTTTTTTGCCGAGCATAATCCTCCGGACGACTCCGTGACAGGCTTCTCATTTGAGGCTGAGCGGATCTAGGAGAGGCCCAGGACGGGCTCCAAATACTCACCGCGTGGGAATCGAAATTCGGGCCGGCGGGTTCACTCTCGCGGCGCGCTAACCGCTGCACCCCGCGGCTCCCCATGCTATGTACATACACAGTACAAAGACAAAGATCCCCCGTATAGCCTTAACGTACTTTTGGGACAAGCGCTGTTTTAGCGAGTGGCACCGGTCAAGGCCGTCACGGAGCAACGACGCGGTGGTGAGTGCCCAGCAACCACGCACGGTCGCCTTTGTCTTCGATGTTTGCGCATCGTTCCACGTATATTATTCTCGGGCCGAGTAGACTCTGACGGAGGCCCAGGACCGGTTCGGCGGGAATGGAACTCGGCTCGCCGGGTTTCAAGGCGCGTACGCGCACACGCACGCGCACACGCACGCGCGCCTACTCATCCCTATTCAAACAATGCCACACTCTCACTGCTGCGCCTAGACCCGGCGAGACCGGTTGGGCAGGTCTCGCACCGGGCTGGGTGTTGAACCCAGGGATGATTTTTTGGGCCGAGTCACCCGTCACTTAATGACCACGAGCAAGAGCAGAGCAGCTTCAATTGTTCAACCGCGGTAATTATCAACAGCCGCTGCGCCTTCAGCGTCGTCATCGCACGCCACCACCGATATAGGTCACGCCGCCTCTCACTTGGCCAGTAGCCATCGTCGCCGTCCTGCTGTTATCGCTACAACAGCGGCGTCACCGTGAACTTCACGCCAAGATTGCCGTGGCCATGTGTCGAGGACTCGGGCCGCGACCAGACACGGACCGTGTCGTCTCATCCACCACGCTGCGAGTCGCAGACACCACTCAACCACCCACCCACCCACTCACAAATACAAAGGTGCACCAACCAGGGAGCCCCACGTATCCAGCCGTCCAGCTCTCGCTAAGGCCCTCACAGTTACCGCCCACATGCCCCAGGCTCGCAGCATCAGAGACCCAGGATCTATCTTCAAATGATGCCCTCCCGTGGTACAAAAAGACAAACATCCCCATCCCCCACTCCCCCCCACTCCGTGTAGCCTCTAACAGGCTCTCGGGACAAGTGCTGTTAGCAAAGAGCGGCGCACGAGTGGATAGGTGTGGGCAGCACCACACCCGGCCGCCTTTGTCTCCCGAGAAGCGATGTTTACACATCGTACCAGGAACTCATTCGAGGCGGAGTCGACCTAGGGGAGGCCCAGGACCGGTTCAGATAATTGTCACAGGTGGTGGCCGTGAGCGGGAGTCGAACCCGGGTTACCGGATTTGTGTCGCAGTTCGCTAATGACTACACTGCCGCTCCCCACAAACACACGAGCCACTAAGTCACTCCTCACCAACTCACTCCTCACCACTCACTCACTCCTCACCACTCACTCACTCCTCACCACTCACTCACTCCTCACCACTCACTCCTCACCACTCACTCACTCCTCACCACTCACTCCTCACCACTCACTCCTCACCACTCACTCCTCACCACTCTCTCCGCTTCTTCCCTCACACTGCTCCACTCAGAAAAGTCCCTCTCTCGCCATCACCATCACCACAATCATTATCATCACCATCACCACAATCATTATCATCATGACCACCACTATCATCATCATGAACACCATTATCATCATCATGACCACCACTATCATCATCATGACCACCACTATCACCATCACCACAATCATTATCATCATCATGACCACCACTATCATCATTAGCATCACCATCACCACAATCATTATCATCATCATGACCACCACTATCATCATCAAGACCACCATTATCATCATCATGACCACCATTATCATCGTCATGACCACCACTATCATCATTAGCATCACCATCACCACAATCATTATCATCATCATGACCACCATTATCATCATCATGACCACCACTATCATCATCAAGACCACCATTATCATCATCATGACCACCATTATCATCGTCATGACCACCACTATCATCATTAGCATCACCACCACCACAATCATTATCATCATCATGACCACCATTATCATCATCATGACCACCACTATCATCATCATGACCACCATTATCATCATCATGACCACCATTATCAACGTCATGACCACCACTATCATCATTAGCATCACCACCACCACAATCATTATCATCATCATGACCACCATTATCATCGTCATGACCACCACTATCATCATCATGACCACCACTATCATCATTAGCATCACCATCACCACTACCACAATCATTATCATCATGACCACCATTATCATCATCATGACCACCACTATCATCATTAGCATCACCACCACCATCACCACCACCACACTCATTATCATCATCATGACCACCACGATCATCATCATGACCACCACTATCATCATCATGACCACCACTATCATCATTAGCATCACCACCACCATCACCACCACCACACTCATTATCATCATCATGACCACCACTATCATCATCATGACCACCACTATCATCATTAGCATCATCACCACCACCACCACCACCACCACGAACCACCACCACCACCACGAACCACCACCACCACCACCAGTCATCGTGAATCCGCGAACTTCCTCACGGTGAACTTCACCGTGACCCGCGATCGTCCGGATTGTAAAGACGCACTGACCCCAAACCACACGCCCTGTGTCGTCAACAAAGTGTCACAGATGTGGTCTCCCGCCCGCGCGCACGCATCCAAACTTTATTACAAGACGCATCCAAACTTTGGCTTTCACAGTGAATTCGGGAGAAGTGCATCTCACAATCCAGATAATCACATGATACCCAGTCCCTGTCTCTCCGTGTCCTTCTCAGTGTCGCTCCCCCCGTGTCTCCCGCCGTGTCTCTCTCAGTGTCTCACCCCCCCCGTGTCTCTCCCCCCCCCCCCCCGTGTCTCTCCCCCCCCCCTCCCGTGTCTCTCCCCCCCCCCGTGTCTCTCCCCCCCCGTGTCTCTCCCCCCCCCCCCCGTGTCTCTCCCCCCCGTGTCTCTCTCAGTGTCTCTCCCCCCGTGTCTCTCCCCCCCGTGTCTCTCTCAGTGTCTCCCCCCCCGTGTCTCTCCCCCCGTGTCTCTCCCCCCGTGTCTCTCCCCCCGTGTCTCTCTATCAACTCCCCCGCATCTCACCTGTACGTCTCGTCTCTCCTGTACATCTCACCTGTACGTCTCGTCTCACCTGTCCGTCTCTCCATCTCACCTGTCCGTCTCTCCGTCTCTCCTGTCCGTCTCTCCGTCTCACCTGTCCGTCTCTCCGTCTCACCTGTCAGTCTCACCCTGTACATCTCACCTGTACGTCTCACCCTGTACATCTCACCTGTACGTCTCACCCTGTACATCTCACCTGTACGTCTCACCCTGTACATCTCACCTGTCCGTCTCACCCTGTACATCTCACCTGTACGTCTCACCCTGTACATCTCACCTGTCAGTCTCACCCTGTACATCTCACCTGTACGTCTCACCCTGTACATCTCACCTGTACGTCTCACCCTGTACATCTCACCTGTACGTCTCACCCTGTACATCTCACCTGTACGTCTCACCCTGTACATCTCACCTGTACGTCTCACCCTGTACATCTCACCTGTACATCTCACCTGTCCGTCTCTCCGTCTCACCTGTACGTCTCACCCTGTCCGTCTCTCCGTCTCTCCGTCTCACCCTGTCCGTCTCTCCGTCTCACCTGTACGTCTCACCTGTACGTCTCACCCTGTCCGTCTCTCCGTCTCACCCTGTCCGTCTCTCCGTCTCACCTGTACGTCTCACCCTGTCCGTCTCTCCGTCTCACCCTGTACATCTCACCTGTACGTCTCACCCTGTCCGTCTCTCCGTCTCACCCAGTACATCTCACCTGTACGTCTCACCCTGTCCGTCTCTCCGTCTCACCCTGTACATCTCACCTGTACGTCTCACCCTGTCCGTCTCTCCGTCTCACCCTGTACATCTCACCTGTACGTCTCACCCTGTCCGTCTCTCCGTCTCACCCTGTACATCTCACCTGTACGTCTCACCCTGTACATCTCACCTGTACGTCTCACCCTGTCCGTCTCTCCGTCTCTCTCCCTCCGCGCCGCGCCCTGCACACGTCACAAACCCCGGAATTTCTGAATCCGCTCAGAACTCCCCGAATCGATTCCGCCCCACCCCGTCTCCCGTGCGAGATCGAATCGATGCACGAGTCTATTAACATTGGCGGCTTAGTCGATTCGCTCGCTTTTTAAATCGATTTCCGCTGTTGCGGACGAGATGATTCAGAGTCGCGCGGAAATCGATTCTAATCGAGTCGATTCCCGCACCGACGACGCAGCTGTGCGTCTCCCGTCACTGCCGCTTTGCGTTGGTGATTTCGGGAGGTCGAAGGTCGTCGCGATGATCAATCGAAGCCAAATCGATCGCGAGCATTGATCACGCAGAGATCTGTCGATGTACACGGGAAATCCGGTCACTCTCCCAAGAGCTCCGTTAGTCGAACAGAGATACACTCACTCGCATATGGCTATGTTGATCACACACAGATACACTCACTCTCATGGATACATCGATCACACACAGATACACTCACTCGCATATGGATATATTGATCACACACAGATACACTCACTCTCATATGGCTATATTGATCACACAGAGATACACTCACTCTCATATGGATATATCGATCACACACAGATACACTCACTCTCATGTCTCTATTGATCACACACAGATACACTAACTCTCATATTGATATATTGATCACACACAGATACACTAACTCTCATATGGATATATTGATCACACACAGATACACTCACTCTCATATGGCTGTATTGATCACACACAGATACACTCACTCTCATATGGATATATCGATCACACACAGATACACTCACTCCCATGTCTCTATTGATCACACACAGATACGCTCACTCTCATATGGATATTGATCACACACAGATACACTCACTCTCATGGATATATTGATCACACACAGATACACTCACTCTCATATGGATATATTGATCACACACAGATACACTCACTCTCATGGCTATATCGATCACACACAGATCCACTCACTCTCATATGGATATATTGATCGCAAAGAGATCCATTCACTCCCGATGAGCTTTATTGATCACACAGAGATACACTCACTCTCATATGGCTGTATTGATCGCACAAAGATCACTCACTCGTGCAGCTATTTTGAACACAGATCCACTCACTCTCATACGGCTTTATTGATCACAAAGAGATCCATTCACCATCGAGTAGCTCTATTGATCACACAGAGATCCACTCAATCCCATATGCTTCTATTGGTCACACACAGAGCCGCCCACTCTTAATTATCTCTATTGATCACACAGATCCATTCACTTCGGATTAGCTCTGTTGATCACACAGAGATCACTCACTCTAATATGGCTCTATTGATCACACAGATATCAATTCACGCTCGATTAGATATATTGATCACACATAGATCACTCACTCTCATATGGCTATTTTGATCACACATATCCATTCACGCTGGATTCGCTCTGTTGATCACACACATATTCATTCACTCTCATATGGCTCTATTGATCACACAGATATCAATTCACGCTCGATTAGATATATTGATCGCACATATCCATTCACTCTCATATGGCTCCATTGATCACACAGATATCAATTCACGCTCAATTAGATATATTGATCGCACATATCCATTCACTCTCATATGGCTCTATTGATCACAAAGATATCAATTCACGCTCGATTAGATATATTGATCACACACATCCATTCACTCTCATACGGCTCTATTGATCACACACAGAGATCCATTCACTATCAGAAAGCGCTATTGATCTCACAGAGATTGAATCACTATAAATAGCTCTATTGATCACACACACATGCATTAACCAGGCTTTCCCAAACTCCAGATCTCGCGGTTTGTGCACTGAGAGGGGTGGTTATTGCTGTTATCCGCTCTGGGGAGTGCTGAGTGGGTGCGGTGAATAGGCTTGATGGGTTCGTCACAAAGTGGAGTCACCACGACGTTTCTGCCATTCTAAGCGAACTCTTTGGGGGGTTGTTTTTCGGTCAAGTCACGTAGGTAAAAAAAAATACAATAAAGTAAATGACAACAACTGAATTAAACCATTGGAAACCTCATTTGCCGGTAACAAAATATGATGATTGGTTTTTTTACCGTTTTATCTGGCAACAAAACTGACACCTTTTTTTAACAAGGAGTCATGTTTACATTGACCACAATACCTGCGGTCGGAACGCAAACCAAAAAAAACAACAGCTCTGATAATGTATGTGGCACTGTCCTTGAAATTGATTGGTCCACACCCGAGACAGCTTTCTTTAGAGCCTCGTCTCACGTTGGTGTTGGACCAGAAGACGCCAAAAGGCGTCACACAACTCAAAGACATGCACCATCAGAGTATGCCAGATGAAAGGGTAAAAGACCAATTATCATATTTTGTTACTGGCAAATGAGGTTTCCAATGGTGTGAATGCCTACCCCGAGCTCTCATACTCTGATGGTGCATTGCCTTTGAGTTGTGCGCCTTTTGGCGTCTTCTGGTCCAACACCAACGTGAGACCAGGCTCTAAAGAAAGCTGTCTCGGGTGTGGACCAATCAATTTCAAGGACAGTGCCACATACATTATCAGAGTTGTTGTTTGGTGTTTGCGTTCCGACCGCAGGTATTGTGGTCAATGTAAACATGATTCCTTGTAAAAAAGGTGTCAGTTTTGTTGCCAGATAAAAGGGTAAAAAAAACAATAATTAACTAAGTTAAATTACGACGTTTCGGGCGCAACACAAGCGCCCTTCGTCAGGTGGGGACGGCGGACGCTTGTGTTGCACCCGAAACGTCGTGATTTAATTTAGTTTTAATTTATTTTATTTTATTTTTTTTTACCTACGTGACTTGACCGAAAAAAAACAAAGAGCATGAATCCTTGCAGTCACGAAAGCTTCAAATTTAGAATTCTAAGCGCACTTTGAGAACACGTGAAATGTCGAAAGCAGGAGGTCACGGAACAGACCCAGGTGCCATGGCTTGACTGACTGAGATGATTCACCAACTCCCCTCCCCACTGTGCCATCTCTCTGCGCTTTAGCCGCCCGGCGCTTCGCTCGTTGTTGTGAGCGTCGCTCCTCCGCCCTCCGTTGTTGCTGGAGGGCGACTGCCTCCAACTCCCCAGTAGCAGCAGCGTCCTTCACGAGCCTCCTTTATAGAGGCCGATCGTGACACCGCTGGTACCGGTCATCGTCAGGTCCACTCAGCTCCACATTCTTCTCTGGCGCATCAGTCCATCTCTTTTCTAGCCCCGTGCCGCGCCCGTTCAGCCCTCACTATCTGGCCAAATAGAATCTGCTTGGGCATGCGGTGGCTGAACATTCGGGCTACTCTCCACCCCGGCGTGGATACCCCCTGTAAGCACGTGGGTGGCGTTGCCAGCACCACGCCCTGCTACCTTTGTCATCCCTGGTGGTGGCTAGGAGATGTTAACTACCTCGCCTGGTATACAGGAGGTCGTGGGTTCGATCCCTACCTTGACGCCTGCTGCTGTGTATTTGGAGTGTGCGTGTCTCTCTCTCATCGTCAACACGGTGGCTATGAGATGTTAACTACCTCGCCTAGTATACAGGAGGTCGTGGGTTCGATCCCGACCCTGACACCTGCTGTGTATTTGGAGTTTGCGTGTCTCTCTCTCATCGTCAACACGGTGGCTATGAGATGTTAACTACCTCGCCTGGTATACAGGAGGTCGTGGGTTCGATCCCGACCTGGACACCTGCTGTGTATTTGGAGTTTGCGTGTCTCTCTCTCATCATCAACACGGTGGCTATGAGATGTTAATTACCTCGCCTGGTATACAGGAGGTCGTGGGTTCGATCCCGACCCTGACACTTGCTGCTGTATATTTGGAGTTTGCGTGTCTCTCTCTCTCATCATCAACACGGTGGCTAGGAGATGTTAACTACCTCGCCTGGTATACAGGAGGTCGTTAGTTCGATCCCAACCTTGATGCCTGCTGCTGTGTATTTGGAGTTTGCGGTGTCTCTCTCTCTCTCATCGTCAACACGGTGGCTATGAGATGTTAACTACCTCGCCTGGTATACAGGAGGTCGTGGGTTCGATCCCAACCTTGACGCCTGCTGGTGTATATTTGGAGTTTGCGTGTCTCTCTCTCTCTCATCGTCAACACGGTGGCTATGTGATGTTAACTACCTCGCCTGGTATACAGGAGGTCGTGGGTTCGATCCCGACCCTGTCACCTGCTGTGTATTTGGAGTTTGCGTGTCTCTCTCTCTCATCATCAACACGGTGGCTATGAGATGTTAACTACCCCGCCTGGTGTACAGGAGGTCGTGGGTTCGATCCCAACCTTGACGCCTGCTGCTGTATATTTGGAGTTTGCGTGTCTCTCTCTCTCATCATCAACACGGTGGCTATGAAATGTTAACTACCCCGCCTGGTATACAGGAGGTCGTGGGTTCGATCCCGACACTGACTTCTGCTGTATATTTCGAGTTTGCGTCTCTCTCTCTCTCATCATCAACACGGTGACTATGATATGTTAATTACCCCGCCTGGTATACAGGAGGTCGTGGGTTCGATCCCAACCTTGACGCCTGCTGCTGTATATTTCGAGTTTGCGTGTCTCTCTCTCATCATCACGGTGGCTAGGAGATGTTAATTACCTCGCCCGGTATACAGGAGGTCGTGGGTTCGATCCCTACCCTGACGCCTGCTGCTGCTGTATATTTCGAGTTTGCGTGTTCTCGCCGTGGTCGCGTGGATTTCTCTCCGAGTTCTCCCGGGTTTTCACTCCACATTTAAAAAAAGAGATAAGTATCCACGTGATGAGCCACTTCGTTGAACTTTCATTTGTGGCCAGGTCGCTTCTGAAAGAGAGGTACATGGCAGCTCAGCTGGCTTTACCAGTTTAACCCAGCACATCAGCGGTGAGTATTTCGGATCAGAGTCTCGTGACGTGCACACTGGCGTTACCGATTACACTGGTCTGCAATTGATTAGACGTCGTCTGCTTCAGAGATGAAATGTGCTGCTTATTGTGGATTTTGACGTGCTGAATTCAAAGATGACAATTCAAACAACTGATGGGCTA